TGGTATTTATAGCTGAAAATAATTGCGGAAGCATGTGGTACGTTCATTAATAAGGTAGGATAATTGAAGGTAATTTAGTCTTAGTAGTTTTTTTTCAGTGTTGGTGTTATGTACGCATGTGAATATGATGTTTGTGCAGCCTAGTCCCAGGCTCTCTCTCTCTATTCGCTGCTTCGATATATTTAAATAAGTCTTAAAAGTTTTATGCCTGGGTGTGCTGTGCGGAACGCTTCAGCGAGAGAGCCTAGCGGATTTCGGTAAAATGGTCCCTGATTTCAAAAAAGTGGTCCCTGGCCTGGTTACCAAGCATACCTCATTTGTAAATCGAAAATGTTATGGAAATTTCCTTTGCATTTATAATAAAGTCATTAGTTTCGCTCTAATGCTCAGGGGCGGATCTAGGGGTGATCAGAGCGATCACGCGACTAAGGTAAAAATTGGCCAGAAAATTGTTAAATTAAAATAGCAGTCCAGTTATCAAATTTCGCGCAGTGTATTTATCGAAAGTTTAACAGTCCAGTTCTAAGATATCATCCATGCAGTAGCAACGCCTTCGAACATGAACGCGCAGAAAAGCGGTCTTACGCATGAGTTTTGCACGCTCTGAGTCGGATTCCAGCCATCTGATTCGCTATCTCGATTTTTGCGCGATCTGTGGGGAGTTATGATCGCTAAAGCGATCAGGGGCTCGAATACAAGCTATCCGATTGGCTAATTCAAAAAAATTCTGAATTCCCGTTGGCTGGATTTTTTTGATCGATCATACCGTTCAGGCTAATCGCACAGAGCTAATAGTATGCACGGAAAGGTCTATGTATTTATGTAAATTGACTGAAATATTATGTAAATTTCGTCTCTTATTATTACCCGCGTACGGCGTACCCGCCGATTTTATAGCATGTGCGTTTTATGGCAATCGGAAAATTTATCAGAAGTTCTAAACACGAAACTGCAAAGGCTGCTTTAGACACTTTCGACAATATCTTAATTAACAATATCTTAAAGATATGTAACCGAAGCGTTCTATTGAAGACTTATTGAGCGCTGTGAACATAACCAGCTTCTTCCTCGCACCGCAAAATTTTGGTGCGGAATCCCGAAGTACGTTCGAGAGAAAACAAAAAAGTTTTGTACGGCCTTAAGGTAAATATATTCTATTTTAACTAGATATAGCATTATAGCTGTTGTAGGCTGTAGTGGTTGCGCGTCTGGACTGTACATACGTAATACGAGACGAAATTTACATAATATTTCAGTCAATTTACATAATACTGCGGCTTAATACTGCGGCTTAATACAAGCAGTTTCAGTTTGTTTATACTTTTTCTATGCCTCTTGTGGAATGTGGGCTTTACATATTGATCAGATACTCAATAATACTGTATTATTTATACCTAGTTGTCTAGTATATTAAAACTATAAACACATGACAATGTGGCATGGCTTTGTGTAATACGATCTCTACATTATGTATACAACAAGTAATGAAGTAAAATGGATCATGTTGCCATTGTGAATATTCATGGCATTTGTTTCTGCTATGAATATTAAAACTCGGAAAGCAGTGAATTAAACGCGGAAATTCTTTTCCTGCGAATTAACAATCAATCAAATGATCTTCAAAACCGCATCGCTATATAATTTTGAAAATATTTTGACCATTCATGTAAATTAAGGACAAAATATGGAGTTATGTGTTTCATAGGCATGCTGACGAGCCCTGACATTGGGCGAAACAGTCATTTTTCACGTAACATTTTTTCGTAAAACAGGATACAAATCAATTCGCTTTGCGACCTCCCCGTAAAAGAATCTCCTCCCTCGATGTTCAGCAACGAAATTTTTGACTAACGTACGAAAAATCCTAGATCCGCCCCTGCTAATGCTGTCAGAACAATGAAGTAGGCTACGTTTCGCTGCCATACGGTCAGAATGGAATAACTGGCTAAATATGACTCGTGTTTACTAAAATATATAGCCATATTAAATGCTATCTAAAAGCTTGAACATTATCCCGAGTCTCCGACTAAGAATGTTTTGACAACACCGTCATGTCAGTCAAATATTTCCAATCTCCTCAGCAATTTAAACCTGTCAAGTAGAAAGCGTAGTTGTGTATACCAGTATGGTCTAGTGTTGATCACAACTTGCGAGTACATAAATAACATCAACGATTGCTCAAACTCGGTATCGTAAATTTGTATATAATTTCTTTTAGTTGAGCACATTTTTAATACAGTTTGATCTGGTTATGTAGACATCGAACATGTACATGATGAACGAACATTATAATTAAAAAGTTACATGTATATATAAATTTTCTGCCATATTAAAAGTACTGAAATCTGCTAGGCGTTCTGAAGCACCTTGAGCGGTGGCGTCACACCTAGGTCCCAGTCTCGTACTACATCCACTTTTTTCTCGCGCTTCCTTCAGAACGACTGGGACTAGGCTGATGTTTGTGATGTTGCATGCATGTTGTTCGGATCGGAAATTTTAATTGAATTTGCGCGCGCATACATACAATTCTTGGTTTGATGACGCTTTTTTGCTTGTGTTAATTAATTAATCGGCTCAGCTCGTGAGCCAAGCCAGGAAAAAATGTCTATAGACTCATTCTTTTCTTCTCCTCCACGGAAATCTTTAGTAAAAGGCAAAAGATTTGTCCGTTTATGAAATTCTGAAGGAGAAGCAGAGTTGTACTAATTCATTGCTTGCTCGAGGTTTGGTATTTATAGCTGAAAATAATTGCGGAAGCATGTGGTACGTTCATTAATAAGTTAGGATAATTGAAGGTAATTTAGTCTTAGTAGTTTTTTTTCAGTGTTGGTGTTATGTACGCATGTGAATATGATGTTTGTGATGTTGCATGCATGTTGTTCGGATCGGAAATTTTAATTGAATTTGCGCGCGCATACATACAATTCTTGGTTTGATGACGCTTTTTGCTTGTGTTAATTAATTAATCGGCTCAGCTCGTGAGCCAAGCCAGGAAAAAATGTCTATAGACTCATTCTTTTCTTCTCCTCCACGGAAATCTTTAGTAAAAGGCGAAAGATTTGTCCGTTTATGAAATTCTGAAGGAGAAGCAGAGTTGTACTAATTCATTGCTTGCTCGGGGTTTGGTATTTATAGCTGAAAATAATTGCGGAAGCATGTGGTACGTTCATTAATAAGGTAGGATAATTGAAGGTAATTTAGTCTTAGTATTTTTTTTTCAGTGTTGGTGTTATGTACGCATGTGAATATGATGTTTGTGATGTTGCATGCATGTTGTTCGGATCGGAAATTTTAATTGAATTTGCGCGCGCATACATACAATTCTTGGTTTGATGACGCTTTTTTGCTTGTGTTAATTAATTAATCGGCTCAGCTCGTGAGCCAAGCCAGGAAAAAATGTCTATAGACTCATTCTTTTCTTCTCCTCCACGGAAATCTTTAGTAAAAGGCGAAAGATTTGTCCGTTTATGAAATTCTGAAGGAGAAGCAGAGTTGTACTAATTCATTGCTTGCTCGAGGTTTGGTATTTATAGCTGAAAATAATTGCGGAAGCATGTGGTACGTTCATTAATAAGGTAGGATAATTGAAGGTAATTTAGTCTTAGTAGTTTTTTTTCAGTGTTGGTGTTATGTACGCATGTGAATATGATGTTTGTGATGTTGCATGCATGTTGTTCGGATCGGAAATTTTAATTGAATTTGCGCGCGCATACATACAAATCTTGGTTTGATGACGCTTTTTTGCTTGTGTTAATTAATTAATCGGCTCAGCTCGTGAGCCAAGCCAGGAAAAAATGTCTATAGACTCATTCTTTTCTTCTCCTCCACGGAAATCTTTAGTAAAAGGCGAAAGATTTGTCCGTTTATGAAATTCTGAAGGAGAGTTGTTGTCGTGAAACAATGCGCTAGGGGAAAGGAAAATCGATATTTCCTTAAAGTGGAAGCACTATGTAAAAATTTGACATGGAGCTTCGCCTGTATTGAAATAGTAAAAAATATATTAAGTCTAATTCTAGGTCGAAATCGCAAAGCCAAACACATCTCATACGGGAGATTTAAACGTGTATCTCAGCAATAAGATACGGTAGATTTTTTGTAAAATGTTTAACAGGTCCTACTAATTTACGTACGGATCCTATTATAAAAGTCCAATGCTTTACATGTTCCAGCTGTGACCTCCGCCGTTTCTTTTGGAAAACCCTTCGATTCTTTGAAAGGTCATGGCAGATCGACTATCGTTGGACTTTACATGATGTCCTAAATCAATCACAACCTTAGAAATGGAACCAATCTAGAAGAAATAGCATGGACATATAATAAATCTAGAATTGCTTTAATATTCTCCCGCTAAGTAGCGTTGCCATGGCCACAAAAATGGCGTTGCCACCAGTGTTTCCACTCACAAAAAATATTTTCCTTCTCCATAACTCGAAATTCCTTTTTCCGGTCAAAATTTTCTTCCAAAAATGTTTAAATATCCTTCCATTTTTCCTTCAAAATTTTTATCAAAATTGACAGATTTACCTGGTAATTAACATCTAAAACTCTAGTATTGAAACACATTATATTAACTGATAGCAGATAACTCAATCAACTCATGATCATCTTCGCCTCAACCTCGTATCCAGGGCTTTGCTGATCTGAAACAAAATGCCCTTGGTACGAGGTTGCTTCGTCCCGGGAGGAAAAAAAGCATAATTGTAGAGTTTCGGCTTCGCGTTATACCTCAAACAGCAAGCAAAGAAACATTTTACGGTATCAGGCAATAAAACGTGATAACTTGCTGAGTTTTATAACGGCAATACATAATTATTCTTTCGACAGAAGGTGATATGAAACGAAAACGTTCAACGAAAATTTTGCCAAGAAAATGCCTTATGCCGATCCCAGAAACGTGAAGCTTAATCTCCCTAATAAAAGGGGGGATCTAGGGGTAGTCAGACTAGTCACGCGACTAACGGAAAAAAAGGCATATAAAAAATATTTTGGATCAAGGTTTTAAAATTATTTCCCACCCAGCGCGCAAACGCTTTCCTTCACTACGATTACGCATAAACTCTATCACACTCCAGCACGTAAACTTCGATCAATTTTTGCACATTGAGTAAGCGATTGATTAGTCAAACGCAATGGTCAAACGAGAAGTCAAATAAGCTGTATTCATATGAAAATTAACTTTTCTGTGTTTGAGTTCATGTAAATTGATTTGTCAAATTTGGTCTGACTACACATAACAGGCATATTGATTGGTCAAAGCTATTTTGACTCACGATAGATTTTTGACTGATTCTACAAATAGATAGTACCTTGTGATTGGACAATTTGCGCAAAAGAGTTAGAGAACATCTCCTTTGATTGGCCTTCTAATCTGTTGGAAGCATTGTGCACATATGGTAGCTAATAGTTAGCGCAATTTTACAAGCAAATTGTAGATTTCTAAAAGGTTTATACATCGTGATTTGAGAATGACGATACTTGTTCAAAGCATGTAAGGAAGGCTTAATGTTGTTCAGTGGAGAATATTTGAAGCAGGTAAATTCTGCAAAATTTGTAATCCACAAGTGACCTTTTGGCGAGGATGCAAGAACAATCTCTAATCGGGCTAAATTGCAGAATACCCATGCACTAGTTATATCATATCATGTAGTCACTATTTCACTGGATACGCGGTCAGAACTTGTAATATAATATTTCACAGGATATATACGCAGCCAGAACTTGTTGATATATATTTATTTGTAATAGATTAATAATAAATAGATTAATAGATCAAATTCTCATGTTACAAGTAGCTGTATATTTTAGTGGATACGCAGTCAATTATATAAGTTAAGCGATCAAAAATGGTCAGCGGATAAAATAACTAGTTGACTGGGATATAGATTCATGTCTCGCTAATAGGGTTAGCGGTTAGGGTTAGCATTATAAATAGCGAGACATGAATCTATAACCAGTTGACTGCGTATCCGCGTATCCACTAAACTAAACAGCTAGCTATATAGCATGACAATTTGATCTATTAATGCTAAACTGTATGCCTCGTTCTCAAAATAACAATTAATCCAAACGTTAATCCAAATCCAAAGCCTAACCTCTAACCCCCACCCCCTAAACCCCACCCCCTAAACCTAAAGTTAATGACCTTTTTTAGTATTTGCCCAACCCCCGCCCACCGATCACTGCCTGTGGTTTTGTCTTCAGTTACAACCCAATACTTTAATGCATACAATGCTATTACAACGCCAATAGATTATTAGTTACGTGTGGAACTGGTGTCGACTATTATCTTACATATTTCTTTCTTTTCAATTCATTTCCCACATTTTCCCCGAACTAACGTTTGAAAATTACCCAATTCACTGGCTTTTACATTGAAATTTTAATTCTACATATAAGAGCGGTGCAGCCTAGACCTAGGCCTCCTATTTTTATCATTTTTTAATATTCAGCGCATTTTCGCATGAGAAGACTGGGGCAAGGTGATTTGGGGACGGGGCGGAAGAAGGGCGCAATTGCAATAATTACCAAATGAGAGCCCGAAATTGACAAAACCTACCAAAGGCAGGTACCTAAGCCAGCCGAGTAATGGCCTAGGTCTAGGCTGTGTGCATATACCTCAATTGACGATTCCCCTTATTACGTTTTCGTAGCGCTTTGCATTGTGGTTATAGTGGTGTCACTGATATTCAAGATGGTTTATTTTTTGTCCTGACCCGTGCAAGGATTTTATAAAGCTAGTGTCAGGTGAGCGATAGCCTTTAGCGCGAGTATTGATTTGTTATAGTGTTTGTGAAAATACGTAGAACGCTAATAGATAATTTGATACATTTATTTTACTTCACAATTGTGGAGTCGTCATTTAATATCTAGTAATGAGTTGAGCACGATTACTTGCTAGAGCGCAAAGCTAAGTAAGACTGTCCTACTAAAAATATTTACAAGTTATTTTATACGCGAGTTAGAAAAGGCGAGGCGGAAAAGCAATTAAGATTAGTGTCAAGATAATTAAGGCGCGTTAATACAATTAGGCTAGAAGTGATAACAAGATATAAATATGTACAAGTGTTGGCTGCCAAGAGGAAATTTTATGTTAATAGTTTTTGCGGCGTAAAGATTAAATCTAGGCGAGTCTACTTCCTAAAAGGTTTAAAATGATGACTAAAAATAATGTTTGTAGAAGTTCCAAAAGTTATTAATGTCTTTGAGGTAAAACAGCATAACATCCGCTTAGTGATATCGGGTGACTATCACTACAGTAGCCCCCTTCCAGTGAAGAAGTTAATAAAATTAACGACAAACGATTGTCATGTAACGCTCAGGAAAGTGGACATGTCGGCCAGATCTTGTTCGTCGAACTTGAGGTGCTTCTGTCGTTATAGATGTAGTATGTGTAGCTGGAGTAAAAGAAGGCAAGCCAGGATCTGTGTCGAGATGCGCACATTTCAAACGATCGATGGATACCGTATCAGTGCAATTGCCAAGGTCGACTTTAAAATATTTCGGTGATCGCAAAATAATTTTAAATGGGCCATCATACGGAGGCTGCAAAGGCTTTCGTACGGCGTCACGACGGATGAAAACGTGGGTGCACGTTTGTAGATCTTTTGGAACATGTGATTTGTGGCGTTGCTGGCGGTCTGGTGGGGGGTTCAGGTCGTTAAGGGTTCGTTTGAGGCGGTCGACGTAGAATGCAGGATCTAAAACAGGGTGGTCGGTGGAGTGAGAAAAGAATTCTCCTGGTAGACAGAGGGTCGTTCCATAAACTCGTTCTGAAACACTGTGGCCAAAATCAGCTTTCACTGCGGTCCGGATACCCAAGAGAACAAGGGGTAGGCGTTCACTCCAGTGCGAGGGGTCGTTGGTAGCTTTAAGAGAAGCTTTCAATTGGCGATGAAAACATTCCACGAGACCATTAACAATGGGGTGGTAGGCGGTAGTTCGAACACGGGTAGTGCCAAGGAAGTTGGTTAGGGCAGCAAAGAGATGACTTTCGAACTGTTTTCCACGATCTGTAGTAATCGTGTGTGGAACGCCAAATCGTGCGATCCAATGGGTGATGAAGGCTTGGGCCACGGATTCTGCTGTGATGGTGGAAATGGGAATTGCCTCAGGCCAGCGAGTAGGAATTGCCATTTGAAGGGGGTAAAGGACCAACGAGATCGATGTGGACATGGGAAAATCTGGCGATGGGAATCTCAAAGTTTGACAGGGGTGCACAAGTGTGACGTTGAACTTTGCAGCGTTGACATTGTAGACATGATCTGGTCCACTGTCGTACATCGCGGTTGATGCTGGGCCAAACATATCGTTCAGTGATCAGGTGTTGTGTTGCCTTGATGGGAAAAGTTGTGGAGGGAGTCGAAAATGGTGCGGCGAAAGGCCTTGGGAACAAAAGGTCGAGGTTTACCGGTGGAAATGTCGCAGGTAATATGGTTCTAGGAGGTGGGTATAGGGTGATCTCGCAATTCTATTGTGGAGGACGAAGAATCATTTCGAATCTTGTTGAGTTCTTCGTCGTGGTGTTGAGCACGGGCCATGGCGTCAAAATCGACAGTGGACGAAGGAGTCAGGGTGGCGATACGTGACAAGGCATCGGCAACTGGGTTGGTGTTCCCACCAAATTCGCCACTTGGACTTCATTTCCCAATTTACAACCGATCTCCGTCATGTTAGTGGTAACATGACGGAGATCGGTTGTAAATTGGGAAATGAAGTCCAAGTGGCGAATTTCTCGAGGTGAATGACGGTTGAGGGAATTGTGTAAGGCATAGGTTAACGGTTTGTGGTCAGTCAAAACAGAGAACTGGCGGGCTTCAAGGTGGTGGCGGAAGTGGCGGATAGAAAGGTACACTGCGAGGAGTTCGCGTCCGAAGGTGCTGTACCGGGTTTCTACCGGTTGAAGGCGTTTGGAAAAGAAACCGAGTGGTTGCCAAACGTTGTTGACTCGTTGTTGTAGAACGGCACCAACTGCAACATCGGAGGCATCGGTCATCAGGCACAGCTCAGCGTCAGATTTTGGGTGTGAAAGTAGAGTGAAATCAGCAAGGGTGTTCTTGATCTTCTGAAAAGCAGAGGTAGCTGGTTTGGACCATTGGAGTGGGGTGTTATTTGTCTTCTTGGTGGAGCCTGTGGAAGCGAGCATGTCAGTGAGAGGCTGAAGGATGTGAGAACAATGGGGGATAAACCGGCGGTAGAAATTCACAAGGCCAAGGAATTCTCGAAGTTTGGTGAGCGACGTAGGGAGGGGAAAATCACGGATGGCTTTGACTTTCGAGTCAAGGGGTTGAATACCGTGTGCAGTAACGTTGTGTCCAAGAAACTCGAGAGATGAAACACCAAACACGGATTTAGCGGGGTTGATCACCACACCATACTGTCGAAAACGGTCGAAAAGTAATCGTAGATGGACTTCGTGTTCGAGGGCGTTCGTGCTAGCGATGAGAATGTTATCAATATACACACAGGGAGTCCAACTAAGAGCTGTGTTATGAATATGAATAAAACATATTAATTAAACGTGATATGAATAAAACATCATAACGTAATAAATTTAAATTATTGCACTTACTTGTATAAATCATAAGAGCTTGCATTTACAATGGATAGCTTCAAACAGGGCGCTTATATATGCTCAGAAACATTGATTAGAACGATTGTTCAAATATGGCGAATAAAATGACAAAACGAAAATATTACATGACGTTCCAACGAAAATAACAGAAAGGATTGCGGGCGCGAGCGGAAGGCGAGGGTAATAAATATTAATAGAAGGGATGAAACACCGGTAATGCGATCGTGTGATGTGTTCCATAAGTAGCCTGGTCTCTCGGAAAATTCCAAAACGCTTCCTGCCAACTCCAACAACGCTTACGCACTTAATTAATGAAAATAAACAATGTTTAGCTGTACCGGCTAATATGAAATATTTAAATGTAGCGACCAACGTTTTTTTTAACATTATTTAGTTTTATTATTATTTAGTCATTACGTCACGAGACCAGGCTACTTATGGAACGCATCTCGCGAAAATGGCCAAGAATGCTCGCTGTTATAAATCACATAAATTAGATTAATGACTAGGCTTGTTCATGTAAGAGAACATCTACTGAGCCCTAAAAATACCACAAAAAGCTTAAACGGATAGTCTAGAAGCATTTTAAAAAGTCAAGTGATATTTGTTTCATCCCTTTTATTTATTTCTTCCCTCGCCTTTTCGCTCGCGCGCCCGCAATCCTTTCTGTTATTTTCGTTGGAAGGTCATGTAATATTTTCGTTTTGTCAATTTATTCGCCATATTTGAACAATCGTTCTAATCATTGTTTCTCAGCATATATAAGCGCCCTGTTTGAAGCTATTCGTTGTAAATGCAAGCTCTTATGATTTATACAAGTAAGTGCAATAATTTAAATTTATTACGTTATGATGTTTCATTCATATTACGTTTAATTAATGTTTTATTCATATTCATAACACAGCTCTTAGTTGGACCCCCTGTGATATACACATAAACGAAATCGAGGCCACGAGTAACTTCGTCCATAAAGCGTTGGAAGGTTTGGGCTGCGTTGCGAAGACCAAAGGGCATCTTGGTAAATTCAAACAAACCAAAAGGGGTAGTAGTTGCGGTCTTACAAATGTCGTCTTCAGCCATAGGGATTTGGTGATAAGCTCGAACGAGGTCAATCTTGGAGAAGATGGTTTTACCATGGAGGCTGGCGGAGAAATCTTGAATATGTGGAACGGGGTATTGGTCAGGGTATGGTAACGCAATTAAGACCACGATAGTCCCCGCATGGACGCCAGTCCCCAGGTTGAGATTTGGGAACCATGTGAAGTGGAGAGGCCCAAGAACTACTGGAGGGGCGGATAATTCCCTTGTCCAACATATGTTGAAACTCATCTTTAGCGATCTTCAGTCGTTCTGGTGGAAGGCGCCGGGGTCGAGAAGAGCAAGGTGGTCCTCGCGTAAGGATGTGGTGGGCGACATTGTGCGTAACAGCAGTTTGCTTGGTTGTTGGTCTGGTAATGTCTGGATACTCGCCGAGGAGTGTCGTGAAAGGAGTTGGAGGGAAAGGAGCAAAGACAGGACTAAGAGCTGGTATTGGCGAAGTAATACCGTTAACACGAAGGTGGGTTACTGCGTCAATAAGGATGCGTGTGCGTATGTCAACGAGAAGGTTGAAATGGCGAAGAAAATCAGCGCCGATGATGGCGTGGTTGACGTCTGCGATGGTGAAAATCCAGGGAAAGGATCGTCGAAGACAGAGGTTGATGGTTAAAGATCGGGTACCGTAGGTAGCAATTGTTGAGGAATTGGCTGCCTGAAAATCATAACCTTGGCGGTGTGTACGGTCTGATGGTCGTGGTGGAAGGACGCTGACTTCTGCGCCTGTGTCGATGAGAAATTGTTGTTTTGTTGAAACGTCCGTAATGTAAAACAGGCGGCTTTGGTGAGAAACGCCAGACGACTCTCCCGCGTCTATTGTCTGGCGTGATAGTTTGACGGTGATGATGTTTGTTGAGAAAAAGAACAAGGTGGCGAGCACTTCTTAGCCGAGGCACCGAACTTGGTGTGGTACCAACAAAAAATGGAGCGGGGGCTTGGCTCAGTAGTGGTGAGCTCACGGTTGTGGAATGGAGAGGACGAACGGCGTGTAGGGGACCGACTGCGACGTCTTTCGGTATGACCATGTTGCTGTGAAGTGTGGAGGCTGAAGTTGTTGATGGTGGTGGTCAGCTGAGCAACTAGGTCTCGAAGTTCACGCATTTCAGTGGACTGTGCTGTGGGTGATGGTGCTGATTGGGAAACAACGGTGGAAAGGGTAGAATGCACGGGAGCGACCTCTACGATCTTGTCAGCCATCTTGGCCAAACTCGCTGTGTCCATTTCGTCTGTGGTAGAGGCTAAAATCAGTTGAGCGTTGCTTGGGAGACGTTGGAGGAACAACTGTTTCATTATGGAGGGTTCGAGTTGGATATCATCGAGCAGCTGTTGCATACGACGGTAGAGTTGAGTTGGCTTTCGATCTCCTAACTCTTCGGCGTGAAGCAATTGGTTTAATCGTTTTTGCTGAGACGCGGAGGTGCGCTTGACGAGTTCGGTTTTCAGTTTGGTGTAGGGTTCTTCTGCAGGAGGGTTGTTGAGGTCTCGGATTTCTTGAGCGACTTCGGGTTGAAGTGAATCAACAACATACGCGTATTTTGTGCGTTCTGCGGTGATGCCCCTGGTTGTGAATTGGGCTTCGACTTGGGAAAACCAAAGTGCTGGATCGCTTGGCCAGTAAGGTCACAGGGGGTCCAACTAAGAGCTGTGATATGAATATGAATAAAACATTAATTAAGTAATATGAATAAAACATCATAACGTAATATATTTAAATTATTGCACTTACTTGTATAAATCATAAGAGCTTGTATTTGCAGTGAATAGCTTTTAACAGGGCGCTTATACACGCTCAGAAAATCGCTCAGAAACACTTGATTCGAACGATTGTTCAAATATGGCGAATAAATTGACAAAACGAAAATATTACATGACGTTCCAACGAAAATAACAGCAAGGATTGCGGGCGTGAGCGGAAGGCGATGGTAATAGATATTAATAGAAGGGATGAAACACCGGTAATGCGATCGTGTGATGTGTTCCATAAGTAGCCTGTTCTCTCGGAAAATTCCAAAACGCCTCCTGCCAACTCCAACAACGCCTAAGCGCTTAATTAATGAAAATAAACAATGTTTAGCTATACCGGCTAATATGAAATGTTTAAATGTAGCGACCAACGGTTTTTTTTACATTATTTAGTTTTATTATTATTTCGTCATACGTCACGAGAACAGGCTACTTATGGAACACATCTCGCGAAAATGGCCAAGAATGCTCGCTGTTATAAATCACATAAATTAGATTGATCAGTGCTTTTTTGGTAATGACTAGACTTGTTCATGTAAGAGAACATCGACTGAACATTAAAAAACCCACAAAAAGCTTAAACGGATAGTCTAGAAGCATTTTAAAAAGTCACGTGATATTTGTTTCATCCCTTTTATTTATTTCTTCCCTCGCCTTTTCGCTCGCGCGCCCGCAATCTCTGCTGTTATTTTCGATGGAACGTCATGTAATATTTTCGTTTTGTCAATTTATTCGCCATATTTGAACAATCGTTCGAATCAAAATGTTTCTGAGCGATTTTCTGAGCGTGTATAAGCGCCCTGTTAAAAGCTATTCACTGCAAATACAAGCTCTTATGATTTATACAAGTAAGTGCAATAATTTAAATATATTACGTTATGTTTTATTCATATTACGTTTAATTAATGTTTTATTCATATTCATAACACAGCTCTTAGTTGGACCCCCTGTGGTAAGGTGGGAGTTTGATGCTGATGGAGGTCACCGGTGATGCTGTAGGTTGCACATCGGAGGTTGAAACTGTTGAAGACGAAGCATGTGACTGTTGACTATCCATTGCTGCGTAGAAGTAAAAATGATTCTCGTCGGGGTCACCAATTTAGCGCGAGTATTGATTTGTTATAGTGTTTGTGAAAATACGTAGAACGCTCCGAATCCGGTATCGTGTAACTGGGGCCTAAAAGTAAAAGCTTGTATATCGTATTCACTATCGAGTTAAATTCATTAAAATGAAGTTTGGAGTTGTGGGAGGATCACACACCTATGCAAAACACCACTTAGCCTTATTACTTCATGATATTCTTTGATCAGTCATTATTCATATGTGACGTAAATTCCGGACATTTGCATGTCAACAAAACTGAAATAACTCAAAGACAAAGTGTGCAAACGAAAATCTTCCAGTTAGATCTTTCCCATTTCCCAGCGACACATTCCCATTTGCTGTGACTGAATTCCCATTTCTCCAGGCAAAAAACAGGGCGATATCAATTCCCACTTTATCTTCAGGAGAATCTGGATAACTGGACACAAACGAAAAAAAAAATACATCCAAATACACCATATAATTTAATTTGGCACACGCCTTTTGATGCATGCATATTACAGAGGAAAAATATTTAAAAATATGTTCAATATTTACAGTAATTCAACTTAATGTACAGTTAAAGAATAACAAATATAATATGTGAATATCACGCTTGGATTTTTAGTCATCCAGTTGACAGAGCAATGCGACCCCACGTTTGATCCAGTGGCTTTCAGGTTTATCAGTGGATAGATAAACAGGCATGACGTAATTTGTGGAATGTCCTGTAGTCGATAGAGTGCCACGCCTTTCACTTGTTTTATACACAGGACACCTGTACGTTTGACTGTAAGTTATGTCGACGGTCTTGCCTGCAGAAAACATCAGCATACAGTGAAATTATGTTTTTACTTACTACTATGATCTTAGGTAAAACCCCCTGGGTTTCCTATTTCTTATTGCAAAAACTCAGGTAGGGGCCAACACTTTTTCGAGTAGCTAGCCAGTAACTCCGGGTCTATAGATAGCACGCTCCGCTGCCTCTTCATGAATGATTTTTGGAGTTGACTTGTAACTCCAGAATTTGTATTTTAACTAGTGTTGACGTTTTGAAGCGAATGTTTTGAATTTAGGGTTAGCGACGCTATTTCCTTAAGCTACGTTTACACGCTGCGATTTGTCGGGCCGATTTTGGTAAATAATCGATGCCCCTTCTTCGACATTTAGCGATTTAAACGTTCAATTGAAGCTGTCCGCTCTCTCGTCTGTTCATATTCAACGGAAGAAAAATCGTTGAATCGTGAGGAAAATCTGTGTTAGTGTTACAGATTTTTCTCCCGATTTTGTGAATCGCAAGGTGCTGACGCGAGTACTCACGACAGGTTATTTACATACAGCGACCAAAATCGCCCCGACAAATCGTAGCGTGTAAACGTACCTTTAGTATGAGTGGTTACATGGCTGAAAGGTTTTGTAGCTGGATGTTTCAAGTGTAATCTTATACATTTTCAGACCTAACCAGGGCCGTGTTTACACTACGAGCCTAAGCCTGTCCTAGGCCTAGCTTTGTACTAGATTTTTGTAGTGTAAACGCACTTTGGGCTGGCCTACGTTAGGAAATGTGGAACACCTGTTCTGATGGACCCAGATTTGCTGACCTAGGCCAGGCCGAAGTGCGTTTACACTACAAAAATCTAGTCCAAAGCTTGGCCTAGGCCAGGCTTAGGCTTGTAGTGTAAACACGGCTCAGGAGCAGCTGCGAAAAATGCAACTGTGTGTCCTCTGGCAGGAATCGATTGTGGTATTTTGTATTCTAAACAATAACACTTACCTGGCTTAACCCAAACTGCTGGCATGGAATCGTGAAGAATTTTTGGCAAAGATTCACCAATCACCCCCCTGAAAAACAGAAAACAGTATGGTATGTAATAATGCTCAAGATAAGTGAATGGGGGAAAAATAGATTTGTTCAGAAAATCAACGAAGATTTGGATCGGTACTGACTATAGTTAAGAAATACGTTTTGAGAACCATACGAAGATATTTCCCACCATTCTCGCAAATTTATAATATTTTTTATTATATAATAGAGAGTGAGATACTGAAAAATACAAAGTGAGATATTTTCCATATCTTCACTAGCGAAGATATCGATCACGTGACTTTTAGCATTTATACAATTTTTTGCTTGGAACTATATAATAAACAGAACATTACACGGTGGCTTGAAGATATGACTTTTATCTTCTCGTGTTAAAAAAGTCGTATCTTCGCGCCGCCGTGTAATATCCTCTATACACGGTTCGTACACCTTCTCCCATTTAAAATTCCATGACTTTTCCATGATTTTCCATGACCATTTTTTTAAAAACCATGACTTGGAAGTCTGGAATTTTTGAAATTCGTTAATATTTTAACGATAACAGATATAATAAAAGAACAAAATTCACTTCACTCTTGCAAAATCCGTTATATAACAACAATTCATATTATTGTTATGACTGGTAAAATGAAATAAGTAAAATGTTTTCTTAATGTTATGTAAAATTTCAATTTTCTATGACTTTCCATAACTAAAATTGATTTTCCTGGATTTCCAGGCCTGGATTTTGGAATATTGAAATTCCATGACTTTCCAGGTTTTCCAGGATCCGTACGAACCCTGTCTATATATATGGGGCTTCGGTGGCGAAGTGGTTAGTGCACTTGCCTTTCACTTCTAAGGCCGCAGGTTCAAGCCTCAGTGAGAACTTCTCAATGCGACTCGAACCCAGCCCTCATGTGAAAAGAGTAAAAGTCAAGGCTCGACCGAAAGTCGTGGCTTTTCTCCGGTTTCCTCCCAC